GACCTCAGGTTATAGCACAAAGGGACATCGAAAATAATTTTCTTGCTTGTTTACCTAGGGGTCCACGTGCTACTAGATGGTTTGCACATTTTAGTTGGACTGATACCACTAAGCATGTGTTGAAAGTTTTTAGGGATGCACTTGATTCCATGACAGAGGATCAGGTATGATGTTATACTATTTTTCTTTAAAAAAATTATGTGTATATTGTAGTTGAAACTCATGTATTTTTCTTTATGTAGTTTATTTGGGAACCATATTCTGATGACTTAATTGAGAGTCTTCCTGATTATTGTCGAATTGGACGAGACATATGGCGTGTAAGAGCTCCAATTTTTTGTTGGGATATCGTTGAGGTTCACTTGCCTGATCGAGTTATGAGACAATTTGGATTAAAACAAACGATACCAACTCCATTTCTATTTGACGCCACACATTTTCACCATGATCGTAGGGGCAGATGAAATACAAATTGGAAGTTGGAGCATGCACAATGGTTGCCTCTTTGGAACCAACGACTTCAATATGTTTGTGATGCTCTGGTCAATCGTGAACCACTTCGATATGACGACCCTTACTTTATTTGGTTTAGACGCATTACTCGTCTTGTTATTGGTAATCCTACTCAGCGTCCTCAACAACAAGAAGGTTATGTGCCCAATTCAACGGCATATGAAACAATGGTATGTATTAGATTTAGTGTGTTTGTGATTTATCTTTTGAGTATAATATTGCTTCTTCTCGAAAAATGTTACTTAGAAAATTGTTACCTATGTTTCTTCTTAAAAAATATAAAATAAGTGCTTTAGTTTGATCTTTGTTTGAGCATCTGTTAGAAAAAAGAATGGAAAATGTTTGTAAGAAAAAAAGTTGATCTTTGTGTAGGTGCGTCATATTCATTCCATGGTTGATAGAGCAAAAGCCCTTGGTGATCAGCCATCAACGGAGGATTTATACATATTTCGTGCAATGGTCCGAAATGAAGGAGAAAAGTGCTTGACATATGTGCACGAGGCTGCTAGGATTAATGTACAAGCCGATTATAGAAGAGATGAGGTACATGATGATCATTTACATCATCCGGTTCATAGGCGAGGAAAAGGTGGTGTTGCCGGTAGGAGGACTCGTGCTGTTGAGAAAGGACGAGCACCTATTGAAATGGATGAATCAGTCTCCGAAGATGATCACACAACTTGTGATTTTGGTTCCATTTCAAGGGGCCAAACTCAAGAATTCACTCCCGGGGCATCAGGTATGACATATCAACCAACAAATACTGATATTGTTCCATACACGGCATCACAAATATTAAGGAATTCTAGTCTTTTGTCACTTGAGAATGTATTTGGTGGTTCTCGACCTCAACATTTTGAGAATGCCCCCAACTTTAATTCATCACCTGGGCTGCCAATGTCCATTAAGACCCCTGGTGTTGTTAATCATTTAGAGGACTCCAACGATGAAGTGGAGAATGCAAACGAATGTGGTGAACCATCAGTGAAGGAGAAGCGTGGGATTTTTCCTAAGCGTTGTGGGACTGGTACTATTAACATCTTTATTTTATTTTTTTGACATAAATGCTCCTCTGTTTAGTCGATCAACTGAAAATTATTCTTATTTGTCAGGGAGTCACTATCTTTACCAGCATGGCAAAAAAAATAAGCAACGACAAACAAAGAACTGTAATTGAGAGGTTTCAGGTATCCAAATTTGGTACTCCTTCTTCTTCTTTGTCTAGTCTTAGGTAAAATTGGGTATGATATTTTCTGTGTTGGAACAGAACAAGTTTGATTATTGTTTGATTCTAATATTAGCTACTAATTCTTCCCCCGACCCACTTGTGAGGATCAAACTGAGTATATTATTGTTTGCTTCTAATATTAGCTACTAATTCTTCCTTTTTCGGGGTAATCAAGCTATTCAGAATTGACACTTAGGCAGATGTAGTTCAGTAAATCTTACATTTCAGTTCAACATAACCATATGATGGGCAGATAGTAACGTTAGAATCATATTTAATTATTGCATTACTAGTGACTCGAAATAAATCAAGTTTCCAGACATGTGCAGTAATTGGCTAAGTGACCAGATTAAAAATTAATTATGGCAGTGATCTCGAGCAATAAATGTATCCCAAAGATCTACCTGGGATGCAAGTCCTTTAGCAGCAAGCTCCTGCGTAGTTGTCTGCACAACACCCTGTTGCTTTGGTCCGCATGGTATCCAGGTACCATTAGAAGTCTGAGTAAAGAATACAGCATCTTGTGTCTTACGTACGGGTTCAAATAGCACATCCTTAACCTATCCAAGAAGAGAAAGTATATAAATATATTAGGAGAATAAAGAGGAACTGCCCCCTTTTTTCTTTCAGTGTTAGAAAATTCAAGTGGATTGGTGTAGGAGTTGTTCTAGCAAATTTTTGCTTTTTGTGTGCTAGCAAATATAAGTTTTAGAACCATTGTACTTCATGCTTTTTTTCATATACAGTCCTTGCTAGCTGTTCAATAGATCCTTAATGAACCATCCATACTGCTGCTGTACTCGACGTGCTAGCTTGTGCCACTGAGTTTGTGCTTTCAGTATAGATTGAGATTCTTGGTGAATATAACTCATCAAAGTTTTCTTAATCATTTTTTCTTAGGTTGATGCAGCTTGTTGATATTCTGGATAACCCTTGGTGAATAGTAGAGATTTTTTGTGAAGAATGAAGCTACTAGTCATTATTTTGTAAAGCAACATGTTCTATGAATACATGAATGTTTCAATTATTTTCTATTTAGTTTGTGTTTTTCAAGTATTCCTTAATGTAACTTCAAGTTTGTGAAGCAGTAGCCATTGTGAAGCAGTAGCCATTGTGGCTTTTATACATCAAAGTTTACATATTATTTATCCCATTTGAAGATCCTGTTGCTTCTTGTTATTCTTTTCCACTTCAGAAAGTGTGGTTAAAAGATAATGCCTGAAATATTAATATAGCATCTCTTATTGAGCAACTATCTCAGGTACCACAATGCTTTAATGGGTCGTTTGGATTAGAAGCAAGTTATAGGGGAATTAGAAATGCATGGATGGCAATGTAGAGATTGTAATGTAGGGATTGAAATGCAAGGTTAAGGTTATAATACAAGAGCTGTAGTGGAAGGATTATTTACTCAATGGATGTTAGATTTGTTATACTAAAGTGCATATTAAAAAATATTTTTTAAATTCTTTTGACAAAATAAATATTGGATAACACGTGAAGGGTTATTTTTGTCATCTCGTAATTTTACTCCATATTATACTATCCCCGCATTCTTATCTTGCATAAAATAATATATCGATACCCGCAAAAATTGTACTATAAATATCCTAAATTTTATGTGGAAAGAAAGAATGAAACAAAACATTATACTAACACTAAGTATAAGTGGAGATCACAATTAATAATTTTCCTTTATTAGCAATCTAGAAAAATGCACATTACATTAGATAACATAAAGAAAATTAACACCATTAGACATTGACCCACAATTATTCACTTAAATTTAATTACGATTGGGACATTGACGCCTATCATGTCCTGTCTGTTCTGCATAATCCACAAGCTCGCTCATACACTGTAGAACTACGATCCATTTCATTATGTATTCTAGTTGTCCTTGGCCGATTAGGACGACGATAGAATTCATTACTTGTCATTGTAAAACTTGGAGATGGCCAATATGACTCATGACCAATTGGTGAGAATGACCCAGAATATGTTGCAACATAATTCTCTATTGTGAAATGCTCGCTAACAAAATTTCTAGCTAGCCCTCCCATTCTATCAGTTACCTTCATGACATGTGAACACGGGAAGTGCAGATTAACCCATTTTCCACAATCACATTTTCTTTCATTTAGTGAAACACAATGAGGATTACCACCAGTACCATCAACTTGTATAGATCTAACCTCGTATACTCCTGTGGGTATATTCCAATCAAAAACAAAGTGCCTCTTTGAACTTTCATAATTCTTCTCCCACTTATTTTGAACCTCCCGGTCCATAATTCATTTTGCTCTGCAAGTTGGTGTGCTATTTGAGACCTACGGGTATACCGTTCAATAGTTTACTCCAATGAAAGTCTAATCATAGCAGTGACAGGCAAACCTCGTGCTTTTTCAACACTCCATTGAATGACTCTGAAAGATTTGTTGTCAACACTCCCCATCTTTTCCATCATCATGGCTAACAGTCCATTTATCCAAGGGAATTTCCATGAGGTATGCATATGCTTCGATATTTTCTTCTTTAATTTGCCACATCATGGACTCAAACTTCCTTACTTGATGGGCTGAAGCAGCCCTCCACATCAATCTGCTAAGGTCCTTGTTTGGAAATTTAGATTGAAAGTCTCTCTTAAGATGTCTTATGCAAAATCGATGGAAGACTCGAGGCTCTTGAAATCGCCGCAACTCCTGCAAACTAGTCAAGATTCCTTTTGCCCTATCAGATATAACACATACATTTTGTCTACTTTTTATCACATGTGCACTCAAATTTCTAAAAAACCATTTCCATGCCTCTTTTGATTCTTTGTCTACAATAGCAAACGCTAAAGGGAGAATGTTATCATTTCCATCAATTCCAACAGCAATTAATAATTTGATCTCATATTTTCCATAAATATGAGTTCCATCTACTGAAATAACTGGGCTACATGTTTGGAATCCATCAATGCATGGCTTGAAAGCCCAAAATACAAATTTAAAAGTTTTTACCTCCGATGAACTCATAGACTCTTCGTGTTTCCATTCCACAATTGTTCCATGGTTAAAGTGTTGAAAAGCTGCAAAAAATTTAGGTAGGTCACTAAATGATTTCTCAAAGTCACCATATACCAATTCAAATGCGCGTTGACGTCCAAGCCATGCTTTCCTATATGTCACTTGGTGACCAAAATTTTCATGAACCTTTGAAATGACATCTACCACCAAGAACTTAGGATTTTTTCTAATTTGATTTAGAAGTAGTGATGCAATCAAATTGGTATTTAGGTTGGCGTGACCGCTAGAAAGCCCCTCAGTCTCACATCTATGGTTTTCAACATATTTTCCTATCTTCCAAAGTTTATCTCCAACTTGTCGTCCTCGAAGAAACCACATGCAACCCAATAAATTATAAAACTAACATCTCACAACCCATAGACTTTTGGTAGATGTTACCACCTTGAACTCCTTATTTTTGTGCAAACTCCAAATCGTTACAGCCATTTTCAACTTTTCTTTACTACTAAAAAGCATACCTTTTTTAAAATCTTTTTTGCTTGCTCAGACCAAACGGAACAACATTCCATCTCAGATTCACATGTAGACATAAAAATGTCTTCCTCATTCTCTAATGTCCTGAAATAGGGTATGTCATGAGACACACCCTGATCATGATTATGAAGATTTACACCATTTTGAGAAAAACCTCTAATATCATCGATATCTTCATCAGGTTCACTTTCATCACCATATTTCGGAGGTTCATCTTCCTCCGAACTTTCATCACTAATTTCAGCATTTACATCATTATATAGATCAACGTTGATATCAATATCTCTGTAAAAAAATATTAGTCAAATTCTAGCAAAATTCTAAATATACAAGCTTGTTTTAAAAGCGATAATAAATATTCTAAAATATTATTTCTTCTATTTATAAGAGATAATTTGTGTATACTTACAATAAAAATTATCTTATTAAATTGTTAGACTAAAATTTAATAAAATAAAGATTTGTTGTTTACCTAGCCTCATATTCCATGTGACTATTATCAATATGCATTTGACTACTTGAGCCTTCACCAAATGATCGATGATCATGCATCAACAATTGTTGAAATGATGGTTGAACAATCGGTTCTACAAAATGAGGTTGATTGATCGTGGTAAGGCCATAATTTTGAGCCAACAAATTCATGTGATAACCATGATGACCACTAACTTGAAATGCAACATTTTGGCCTGTCGATACAGTCTTTACATACATCTCCAAAACATTTATATCAATCTTATCCGCAAATTTTTGAGGTATGAAAAGAAATTGTAACAAAGATTGGTCATTCTCAATTTTAAACTAAATGAACCTTGTATTGTTACCTTGAATTGAACATGGATATTTTCCAGCAATATCCATATGAATATTTTCACTATATGTTCCCATTTTCTCATGTAACAATCCAACCAATTCAACATAGGTAGTTGAAGTCGACATGCTAATAATCGTTCTAGCACATTCAGTATACCTAAATCCGTTCATATCCGTAATTATTTCTCCACCCCAATACAAAGCAACCATCACATTATGTTCAAAATTCGTCATCTTAATCCTACACATAAAGATTAAATATTTTTTAAAACAATATTATTAAATTAGAAAGATAATTTTAAAGCTATAAAGAAAACATAACAAAGGATAAACTTTACTTATTTAATTCATACCTGATGAAATTTTCTGAATATTATTTTTAAAATGGACCATACAAGGAAAATTTTTGCTGAATTATATTTGAACATGAAAAAAATTACAACAACATTGATTTATAGACACTTTGGTCAGTTTGAAAAATGGAGGAATATGACTTTAACAGAGTGTTGTAATTGATAGCAATGTTTTTAAGGTAAAACGTTACTATGAGTAACGTTTTATAGCTAAATATATTCTAAATTTGCAGAAGTCGAAGGCCGTGATTGGATTCTTAAGAAACAACACTCAAAGTAACATTTTAAGTGTAAAACGTTACTCATAGTAACGTTTTACAGTTGAATGATTTGACTCCGCCTTTGCAGGATTGGAGTCAGTGGCCCGTGATTGGATTCTCCAAAAACGTACTCTTGAGTAACGTTTTATACCTAAAACGTTACTCACAGTTACGTTTATGCGTTTAACGTCGCCAACCCGTTAACTTTTTGTCCGTTGAATTTTTATAATGAAAATATCCTAAAACGTTATCATAAAGTACGTTTATACTAGTTTTGTGAAAAAAGTTAAAAACATATTATTTTGGTGAATTGGTTTTAAAAATAGCTCATTTTGGTCAAAACTTCTAAGATTTAAATCCATATTAAATAAAAACAAATACGACTATGGATTAAAAAGTTGATATTTCAACTAGGCAAACTCATAACCAGTTCCTCGAAAATAGTATCAAATATCTTAAAGATCTATCCAACAAAGAAGGGCTTTGAAATATTTTGGTTCCCATGACACTATTATCTAAAATTTAAATTTGGGGAATTTCAAAACACTTCACAGTTTGCATAATTTGGAAACAATATAAAACTGAGGTACAAGATGAACACCTTGGAGAAAGAAATGAAGTTATTTCAAGTAACTTTTGGTCCAAATTATAGTGCACGTGGGGTCACAAAACTACATATTTTATGTAAATATTTTCAAAAACATATCTAATGCTCCAAAACATTTTGAATGGTGCACTTATAGTTAGAATGATAAGTTACTTATGCAAAGAAATCGATATCAAATCGTACATGCAGGACCACTTAGGCTGCATTTACATAATTAAAAACATTGACATAAATATGAATATCAGTAATTTGGAGTTTTGCATGATCTTTCAATAATTCAAGTAGGCCCTAAATTGAATAAGTTTGTATTGTTATCGAACTCTATTATTCTGGTCTACCTAGCTAAATGGACCACCTTTAATTTACTTGCCAAAAAATGAAGAACAAAATTCCTTTTTGCCTCAAGTAGGCTGCCCTTCTTCCTACATCTTACATCTACATTTATAATTTATCATTAGAATGACAATGGGGCAGTGTGCGTGTGAGGAGTGGTGTAGGTTTAGACATATACGGGAATGGGCAGGTAGGGTTAGGAATTTCCTCTTCTGAAATAGGCAATTGTTTTGTGTTTGATGATATGTTTCGCTCAAGTCGAAAAGATAAACATCTACCCGGTATACCAGCAATTCTTCTATGCGGATACCCCTTTTTTACTCTCAGGGGTGCATAGGGCGGATCGTTCCAGTTCGATTTATCAATTTTTTATTTTTAAATATGTTAAATCAATAATCAAACTGATAAGATATTTTTATCAGTTTTTGGTTATCCTTAACGGTTCGATTTTGATTTAACCAAAAAGAAAATGCTGATAAAATATTTATATGGCTTCTCCAACAATTAGACAACAAGATTAATAATGTAACTTGACAAATGCTCATAACATAGAATAATAATAAGTAACATGAAAAGAATTATACAAACGTAACATAAAGAAAAATTAAGAACTATAGGGTTCTTACTTTAGGTTTTGACATTAAAATCGTGAACTCAAAGTAATTGTAAGTGTGAAATGAAAGCTAAATTGCAATGATAGTAACTTCCAAGGCATTGAAATTATGAATGGACTATGGGTAAAGTAGTACATTACTATAGTACGTTTGAATGTGTTATTGATTAACCCAATAGCCCAATTATTAAAAATAAATATCGAACCGATAAGTCGATAATTTTTTTCGTAAATTCATTAACCTAATAACTCAATACCAATAAATTAATATCACTTTTTTCTATTTGATATATCGATCGGTTTAATTTTTATACACCGCTATATTTCACCTATTTGCACCATGTCAAAATTGAATAGAAATATATCTATATATACATCTTAATTAAGTAGAACAGAATAAATGTAAAAATGCAATATAAAAAGAGACATAACACATAAATATATCCTTTAATTCTATCTCATTTTATAATTATGCTCTTCAATTTTGATTATGCATAGCTAGACAAAGATTGAAAAAAGAAAAAATCACTCATGTCTTAAGTGGAATCCTACATGATGATTTGTGTCTTACGTGGTGGCCTGTGTGCAGTGTATATTATGTCACATAGGGCTCATGTGTTTACTTGTTCAACTTATATGAATTTAAGTGTCTACATGTATAATCAAAATTCGAGGATATAAATATTAAATAAGGTCGAGTTAAATGTATTACTGAGGTACAAGATGTACACCTAGAAGAAAGTATTGAAATTATCAAATCTATGATAATCTTCAAGGGGTAAACTTTGGTCCAAATCTTGGTTCACGTGGGATCAAAAGAATTACAAAACTTTTTTCATATATATGATCTAAAATTATTTGCTAAAAACACATCTGTTCCAAATTCCTATACAGTTGAGTGAGTGAAGAAGAACAATATTTATTAAGGATCTATTGCATATCATCATGATATTTTTTATTTTTAGATATATAATATATTATTGTGATTCTTTTGGTTCAAAAAAAATAAAATACAGTTGAGTGATGCACTGAGTTAAATAATAAGTTACATACGCAAATAAATTGATATCAATTCCACTTATATCAACAAAATATATCAGTGTATTATTCGTATTCTTCACTTGGCCTACTAAAAAAATCTGAATACTGCAACCAGTATCCTATATTTGTATACATTACATGCAGAACCACTTAATTAAAAACATTGACATCATAAATATGAATATCAATAATTTTTTAGTTTTGCACCATTTTTCAATAATTCAACTAGGACCTAAATTGAATATGTTTTGTATTTTATCAAGGGATAATGCTCAAATACCCCTCAACTTATGCCCGAAATCTCAGAGATACACTTATACTATACTAAGGTCCTATTACCCCTGAACTTATTTTATTAATAATATTTTACCCCTTTTTAGCTTACGTGACACTATTTTGTGGGCCCAACGATGGTTGACTTTTTTTTTTTAACTAGTGCCACGTAGGCTAAAAAGGGTAGAAAATTACATATAAAATAAGTTCGGGGATAATAGAACCTTAATATAGTATAAGTGTGTCTCTGGGATTTCGGGCATAGGTTGAGGATCTTGAGTATTTTCCCTTTTATCAAACTCTATTATTAATCTCTCTCTACCGCCATTACTTCCCAACAAAATTCTATACATGTACCATCATGATTAATTGAATTTGTTAATTATATTCAAATTTGACGATTTTCATCTAGAAAATATGGCAAAAATCCTCTTCCTATCTGTACATGGTAAAAGTAAAATTGAATATAAGAAAATTGACATTACCAGTTGAGAGAAGAGAAAAAAGAGAAAAAGCATGATCCCGAAATTATTAGTAGCAAAATACTGATGTACAAGATGAACACCATGTTTTCAGATAAAAATGATTTAATTACCAACGAAAGTTGAAAATGCCTTCTTCACATTCTTAGAATTGAGTCGAAAACGCTTTGAATTCCTCATTCTGCTTCCAAAACAGAGTGTTGAAGTTGGTGAAGAAGGGATCTGGATCTGATCAATTTCTGATCTGGAACGGTAATTTCTTCTGTTTGAATTATAATTCATCGATGAAACCGAAGGAGAGGTAGTGATTACCTTTGTGGTGGGAATGATTTTAGGGAAAATTGAAAAGAAGAATTTATTAGATTTTGATTGTTTAGGCAATGGAGCATTCGTTTGATAGGAAGGTGGAGGAGTGAGAGGAGGAAGAGAAATATCAGAGAATTTGTGTTTAGGAGTACCTGGTTGAGATTCCCATACAAATGGAATTGAACCAGAAGATCCACCACAGTAATAATACCTAAAAGAAGACTCACCAACTCCTCCTCCTTTAGCACTAGTTTCCTTAGACAAAAGCCTTGAGAAGAACTTGTCATCTTGTTTGATTAGTAGAAAATCTGCAGAATGATGATGAGATCTACTATTATTATCACCACTCACCATTTTTATGTTTCTGCTTCTCTACTTGAAGATCTGAAGTAGAGGAAGGGCAAAGGGAAATAATAAAAGATTTGAAGCTAAGATCTCTGTTGTGATATTTATTTATTTTTCTATTTCCAATCTAGTCTATTTTTAATTAATTAAAAGGGGGGTCTTAAAATTGGTGTTGAATTTAATGCATAGTTAGTGTAAACTGATTTAAAGGAGACCATGCACAGAAATGAGGGGCATTTTGTATTTTAGGAATTTGTCTTTCAGTGGGATTATTGACTGTATGTAAGGAATAGGGTTTTGATCTGCCCTCAACTTTATCATTTAGAGCTGATATACCCCTTGTTATAAAGGTAGCTCATATATACTCCTTCTACTTGTAAACAAATGATCGCATATATCCTTTTTCTCTGACGGAAATGAAAAAATAATAATTTTAATCTAAATTTTTATTATTTTTTTCTAAAAAATATAATCTCATATGAGCAAATTTAATCCTTGTCAAACATATTTCTTTTTTGACTTTTTTTTTGTTTCAATGACTAATTTATAATTATTATTTTGACAATCAAATTTATTTATGTTTCACTAATATTCTTGTAAAGCTTATTGTAAATGATCAAATTTTTTCTTCGAATACGAAATTAAATTACAATACACACAAAAAAAATAGTTTACTTTTTTATTCTTTAAACTAAGGAATGAAAGAAAAAACAAAATAAGAATAAGAAATTCAAATAATTATAATAAAAGAAGTTAAAAAATAATTTATGTATGAAAAAAATTAAAATATACCTTGAACTTTGATAGAAGAATCATATATACCCCTAAATAATTTTTTTTTAAAAATTAGAAGTAATAAATATAAATTTAAACCTAATTTTTAAAATCCGTTAAATGAAGGATATATGTGAGTCATTTTGTAACGGCAAGGGTATATGTGAGCCGTTTGTATAACGGTAAGGGTATATATGAGCCACTTTTATAACGAGGGGTATATCAATTCCAAATGACAAAGTTGAGGGGTATTTATTATTGACTTGACCTCTTTAGCATATTTTTATTTTATTAGCTAATTTTAGGCTTTCTCATACCTTTTTTATTCTAAATTAATCGTTATTTTTTAATTAATAAATTAATCAATTTTACTATATTTTGTTATTATTCATATCAATACACATAAAAATTAGTTATATATAAAGTAGAGGAATCGCTAGTCTTGAAAATTATTCGTAGTCCAATGACCTATTAGTGGTAGGCGTAAAGTGAAAAAAAATAATTAAATTTATTTTGACGAAGTAAGTAGTTAAATAATATGAGATAATATTTTTAATAAGATGTTCATATAATATGGGGCAAAAAGAGTATTTACTAGAAATTTATTTCATTATATAAATTTTTAAAAAATTATTATTATGTCAAGAAATTTATTTATTATATTTATTTTGTTAATTAATTATGATTTAAAATTCAACACTATTTTGTATACTTATTTAATAATTATTTGTCTTGATTTATTTTAAATTGTATAAGTAAAATGTTTTTTTTTTGTTTTCTGAATATATTATATATACATGAGCCAACTAATATAAAATTGAGAGAGTACAAGAAAAGAAAAGAAAAAGATTTTTTCAAACACCAACTAATGTGAGGTCAGTTAATTTAAACATTTTGCGGTCATTTAAGAATGATATTTTGTGTGTTAGCTAGCGCATTATACTACTTTCAGTAAAATGAGATTTAATGCAGTTGGCAGGTAATTATAATTATTAGTAAACCATTTTATTATTTTCTTTAAAAAAGAAATAAACCAATTTCTTTATGTACCTCAAAGAATATTCTAAGCCATTGATTAGATAGATTTTCCCTTTGGTTTTCCACTGGTTAGCTTCGTATTTATACTATTGAAATTTGATTAAATTTAAATTTATGTAAAATAAATTTATTGAAGAATAATCACTCTCTAACAAAAGTAATTTCGAATTTTTAAATTGATACTTATTAATTAGATTGATGATGTCGATCATCCGATGTGAACTTAATTAAAATTGAATTAAGAAAGAAGTAAATTGGGTGGGAAGATGGATGTATTAAATGGGAAATGGAAGTGGTCCATGACTATTTATGGTAAAGTTGTTCCCATGGTTGATGAGAAGACAAAAGCTTACATCGTTTGGTTATGTGACTTTTATCCAAGTTAATAATTATATTACTCTCCAATTATAAATTCCAAAATGCAACGAATTGGACGTATACCTACCAGTCTAATAATTTTAAACTTTTTATATTAAGTGTAATGATTTTTTTAACCAAGCGAATATAATTGATATTAGTCTTTGGAAAAATTATTTAATTATGCAAATATTTATATTTAAGTTCAATTATATTGTCGAAAGTAAGGTATATCTTTCAATATATTTTAGGAAAAAATATTTAATTATGCATATTCCTATCATAAATATTATTTCACTCAATACTTTTGAAATAATTATACAATGTCTTACTAAAATTTTAAGTTTAATACATCGATTCATTAAATCCAAGTAAAATATATTATGAAATACATATAAAAAGGAAGGAGGGCAAGCGAGAGAAGTGAGAGACAATGGAGATATGAGAAAGGTGAGTGAAAAAGTTAGTGTACATGTGAACCAAAATAGATATATTCATACATATTTTGAAATGTATATAGATACAAAACGATAGAGGCGAGCAAGAGAGTCAGTGTGTCACAAATACATACAAATCATGTTTGCATAATATGTTTCTAAAACAAATTCTACTTAATTGGATCCGCATATAATCAAATTATACAATTTGGTGAAGTCAATATGGCACGGAATATAATTTCAAAAACTAAAGTAAAATCATAAACTGATAAAATTTGTGCTTTTTTTTGCTCTATATTCATGAGTTCAAAAGAAAGTTTTTCTTTTTTTAGTCCGAATTTGATGTTTTTTAACCAAATTATATTGAAACATCTCTTAGATTAAATTTATTTCACAATATCTATTCATTAATGAGACACTAAAAAACTTGCTTTTTGTACTATTGTATGACTATGAATCAATCAGACATGACAAAAGAAAATAAATAATTCGAAGAAATTGAGTATTTAAATTGTGAGAAACATGAAAAATCAAATGAATATACATTTCTTAACAAAAGTCATAGTGAGATGATTATCATTCCTACATTTTAATCTAAAGATCTGGATATTGATCATTTCATTTTATATTTTCCTTACGTGAGACAAATTCAAAATTATTAAAATTTCGATATGAATACTAAACACTAAATAATATATATATATATATATATATATATATATATATATATATATATATATATATATATATATATAAAATCCATATATATGGGGCCTTTCCTTTCTCTCATCCAAATTCCAAGAGTCTTACCTCAAATAGCATATTATAGTACTGAAAATTGAGTAATTATAATAATATAATATAATAATTTATTTAGTGTAACCTTAAGAGTGAAATCTAGATAAGATGATATTTATGCCATCTTAATATTTATATTTACTGAATAAGTCCAAATCTTACACCCAATTCTACAAACTTTTCATCAAGAAACTAATGCCAAATTTGACTTCAATAGGATACCAAAAATTTGATATCAAGAAATTTTAAAGCGTATGCCATTGTTCGATATATTGCTTCACTAACTAATAATTAACATAATCAAATTCCAAATAATGATTATCTCTACTTTTAGAAAAAAGGTTAGGAAAGAATCAAGAGGATAATATTAAAAAGTTACCCTTTAAAAATCTTTCTTGATAGATATGCTAACTCGAGCAATTTTACTTATATTGGACAAGAAGGAGCATGCATTAGTATATTCTTTCCATCACTAATTAATTGGTAACTTTTTCTTTTATATGTATGTTAAAAATAATAAATGAGAATATAATTTTATTAATTTTCTTTCATAAAAAATATATTGAGAATTTAACAAACAGATTTTGATATTTTCAATTGTAAACGTAATATAAGGAGATTTTAATAAATATTATTTTAATTCTATAAGATAATCAATTAATACAGAATGATTATTTTTAGTAATATAAATATATAATGGAGGTAGAGTTTTAAATTTGAACTCATAAAATTAAAATTTGAGTAGGGCAATTGATTTAGTTTAATCTTTTTATACATTTATAATAATAAAAAGGAGTCCTCGATCAATACGGGATTCACACTTCGATGCATTTGTAAATCCATATGCACCGACCAAAAGAATAATTCGGGTTCTCCCTTCTTTTATTTCTCGGATTTTTATATTAAAGTTTGATTATTTTGAATTTTTCAATTGAAGGAAATGTTTTTGTCAATAACTTTTTATTTAAATTTAAATTTGAGATTTTTAATTTAGGAAAGAATTTTTGTATCCGAGAAATTGAAAAGCAGCCCCGCGTATCGTATCCATCAATGGTCCCTCTTCTTTGTCTCCCTAGAAGAAAAATAGCCCCGCTCTCTAGTCGAGTTTTTTTTTCCGCTCAATTTAATTAAAAATAAAAAAAACTTATCATAATTTTGATGGATCGCTCTTGTTATTGTTACAAATATTAATACTAATACTAAAAAGAGTTGTTAAAAAGAGGCATATAATGAGCAATTATTGTGTAGCTATCAACCACCAGCTTTAATTATAAATAGGCCTCTTCTTTCTAGTTGAGGAAGTTCAAGCCATAAATTTAGCATGCTCTCTATATTCAGTTTACACGTACTACCCTTAAAGTAACACGTGCTACATAAGCAAATTTATGGCTTTGGATGTTAAACAACTTTCCTAGAAAGGAACTAGAAACCCCATAAAAAGTCTTCGAAAACAGAAGATATCATTGATTTTTAAATATGTTTTTTAGAACAGTTTGATGGGTAAAATAGTCCACTAAAAATGAAAAAGGAAAACAGTTGAAAATAGAACAAAAAGAACATCACTTGGAGAACCATGACCATCAATATTTCCGTCTTCAAAGGCCATGACTATGTAGTGCTGCGCTTAAATGCACGTGCAAGTGTACGTGGTAGCATAAGAGTATAATTTTTTTTTTGTAAATGAATTATCGTACCCAAGAAATTTATAATCAAATTATATTAACCAACTTAATTTCACAACTTAACAAAAAGT